TACTACTAAGTACTACTACTACTACTACTACTACTACTACTGCTACTGCTACTGCTACTGCTACTGCTACTACTACTACTCCTGCTGCTGCTGCTGCTGTACTTGATCTTGATGTGTAATCATCGCGGCCTTCTTGTGGATCACCTTCATCTCCTGCACCTCATCTTCCATCATCACTGCATCATCTAGAAGCACCTCCATCCTCATCACCATTCTTACCTAGTCATTGCCCTGACCTTCATAAATCCTACAGCATTCTCAACTTCATCCTCCAATCTCCATCGCCGGCATCAGCATCAGCATCATCGTCCTCTTCACCACCAACAGCATATTACACCATCAGTTTTATTGCCGCCATTGCTCTTATGCTAGTTCTGAGTCGGCACATGGCATCAGGGCTCCTCCAAGCCCACCTTCGGTACCTCGGCCACGGTCGCAGGCTCCACCAGCAGGCCAACCTGGATGATCAATGCTGATTCCAGGTGTTGGACACTCTTCTTCGTGCACACTTTAAGGGCTTTGGCTTTATCTGAGCCTCGTGAGATCGCTGGGCAACACGACATGCGGGAAGTACGCAAGACACGGCCTCGTCGTATTTCTCCCTCTCCTCCTCCTCAAGCCTGGCTGCGGTCAGTGATTCTATGGGCGCCTGTAAACAGGTGGCTCCCTCTCGCTCCCGTTGAATTCTCGGGCCCGGCAGACCCCACGAGCGCATTCGGGTCTCTCTCCTCATGATGATGGGTGCTTCCGTCTCCATCAGTAACCATTCTGAAACCGAAGCTTCGACGGGGCAGGTAGAGTTGCGATGATAATGAGTGTTGTTGTTGATGATGCCTGTGCAAGTAGAGCAGCAAGGTCAATTGTAAGAACACTAGTCTCAGCAGCGAAAACAACATGAGCACAAGCAGCAGACAATGTTTCGTAGCAACCGCACTGACTGTCATGCCGATAGCTTATTTTGATACTGCTAGTCGAAGCGACGATTGATGACTGGTGATGGTGGTACGGTAGTACTAGTCATGGCGAAGAAGCAGAAAGACACCACGACGAAGACTGATGATAGCAACACAAGAGGCAAGGCTCGAAGTTCCCGAAAGCACCAACAGAAACGGTGAGAATGGAGGAGGTGGAGTCGCAACAAATCAAGGGACGGTCAACGGAGAGGCCCCCTTCTCCACCAGCCTTCCTTGCTTTTTAAGATCTCAACGTGAACGATCTGTGCAAGACATAAGAATAATTGAAGTCCTCCACTGAACCGTGATTCAGCTCTTCGATGATGTCGTCACCTGGGTCCTTTTGTCAACACGGTCTTGCCAGCTGATATCTACGGAAACAGATGCAATGCCAGCCTCATCGGAGGAGCTCGCTTGCATAACCTCATAGGTTTCAAGTTCAAGGCCTGGGGTGCAGATGGGTGCAGTGTTTAGGGTTTAGGGGTCTGGGTTTAGGGTTTAGACTTTCGGATCCGAAAAGGAGTGGGTTGTAGATCTACGTTTGCCTCCAGGCACCTGGCGTTCACGGCCTCCGCCTCTGGATCTGCAACAATGGTCTCCTGGCCTGCTCAAGACACTTGGGGGTTTCCGAAAGTGGGGGACCCTAATATAGCACCCTAAATAGTAGGATCCCTATCATAAGGACCAAATAAGGTACCCCTAATTTTCTGAAACTCCCACTTGTCAGGAAGGCATCGCACCAACAAGAGATTCTCAACCCGGCGCCTTGCTTGGCAGTCTTCTGCTTCTTCTGCTCTGACTCCGCCACCTCAACAGAGACCCGCACGCACCCATATCATGGGCCAACGAGACGTTAAGCAATACCTCGTTGGTACCTTTCTGTGTTGTACTGCAGAGCTCGGATTCCGAAAGCACAGCGTCCCATCTGGCCTCGTCTTCGCCAGCGCCCTCGGGCACAGGCACATTGGCTCTTTGCAATCTCGGTGGTTCTCTCTTACTATTCGCAGCGTAGGCTTTTATGGCAGCAGGCAGTCCTTCTTGTCGTTTCGCTTCGAGGAGCCTTTTCTACTCCTCTTCTCCTAGACTGCCAGAGACAGACTCAAGGGATCACCACGAGCTGGTCCGGAGCGTCACCTTCTCCGTCTCCTTCTCGCCTTTCGAAGGCTCCTTCTTCTTGTCCTTCTTCTCCTTCTTGCCTTCACCTTCCTTTGCCTTCTTGGCCGAGTCCTGCTGCTCCGACTGCTCCTTTTCTTTGGGAGCCTGGCTCCGAAATTCCCAGAGACCATTTACTCTTGGCCTCGCCTTGCTCCGAGCACATTTGGGAGTTTCCGAAAATAGGGGACCCTAATATAGTACCCTAAATAGTAGGACCATTGTGATAAGGACCCCAATATAAGGTACCCTAATTTCTGGAAACTCCCATTTTTCTGCACCAGAGGGCAGCGGAAGCTCCACACGTTCGAATGCAGAAGACGTGCTCTCTCTCTGCAAGTCTGTCGAGAACACTAACTAAGGACTAACTATGTACAACACTGGGGGGGGCATCGCACGAAGAGATGCTTGCGACGGCAGCACCCATCCATCTTCGTGACGCCAGTGCTCACTGCTTCCACATGAACTTCAGGAAATTGATGCCGGAGCCGTCGAAGATCTCCGGGAGTCGGAGGCAATTCTTGCGGCCAGAGGCGCATCAGACTCCTGGCCCTGGATCGATCATCCGTAGGAGAGCCCGCGCACCACGGCGAGGCGCACATGGTTTTCCCGAACCTTCGGCGCGCTGGGAGAAGGGAAGATGGCATCCTTTATATCAGCCCAACTTCACCCCGATGCCTCGGCGTACAGCCGCCTTGGGCAAGGGCTGCCTTCTCTGGAGCTCGTGGGCTGCAACTGCAGAACAAACTCCTGCACAAAAAGCAACAAACATGTGCGAACGGCCAGGCGCACAGGGCTCAAGATGCGATCCTTGGCTAAAGGCAAGCTGCCCACCACACCTTCTCAACAGACATCAGTCAAGGGGCAAGCAACATGACAGCTCAGTTCCATGTCAGGCGATCTACTGTATCAATGTCGAGGATATGACCCAACAGATCGGCACCCTCATCATCGTCGTCGTCCTTGCTTGTGCAGGCTTGCAAGCGCTGTAAGTACCTGCGGCATGCACTCCCGAAAGCCTCGTCCCTTTCGAGGAAACGGCTTCTCGCGAAGAGCCTCTGGGTGCATAGCAGGTGAAGGGGAGCAGATACAAACTCGCTGGAACCTGCGAGCTGGCCTCTCGACGGCCTGCCGCTGCTCCGGAAGAGTGATGTCAGCCTCGCGCAATGGACAACTTTTTGAGAGATCAGACGAAAAAATCGAAGAATCGCACCCACCCCCCTCTCCTTTCGCTGTCAACCCTGCCTCCCCTTCTGTGAGCAGCTCTTCGAGCAAAGCCTTGCAGTATCTCCAAAACTGATGTACTGTTGCGACTAGCAGTCGTCACTAAGGTCTGCACTTCGACTTCGTCTCCAAGCTTCGCTCGCAGGGAGGAGGCCAGGCCTTCTCAATAGTCGTCTGCAAAAAACGTGTCACATGCGAATGCACAGATACAAGCATGTATACATACATATATATATATATATATACGTATTTATGTATGTGTATATATATATATATATGTGTGTGTGTGTGTGTGTGTGTGTGCGTGTGTGTCTATGGTATGGTATGTATGTATGTGTATACATTAGTACAGAAAGTAAAACACTACAGGCCCCAGATATGTGTATGTATATATGTTTACATACGTACACATATGCGTATACAAATACAAATACATATACATATGCATATACATGAACATAAACATACATATATATATATATTTCTATAACTATAGATGGTAGATACTGTATGTGTATAGTGTGTGTATATATATATATATGGCAGGAACCTTTATGAATTTACGTAACGTGGCAGCAACCTCTGCTGCGGTGGCAGCCCAGCGCCTGCTCCCCCCCGTCCACTTCCTGATGCCCAGCTTGCGAAGTGCAAAGTCGAGCTGCATAGGCTTCAACAGTATTATCCGCCACAGTTTTCTCTAAAAAAAGCCTCGTCCGCAAAGCGTTCGCTGCACATGCTGCGGTGCCCCGGGCCCCTACCCAGATGTCAAGCTTTTTCTAAGCGCTGCATTAATGGTATAGGCGATGCTATGCTTTGCTATGCTATATTATGACATCTTGTTAATAGTCTGACGCGAGTTGAGTGCCATTATGCAATGCCTGGCAATGCCACACCGAGCCCGTGTAAGGTACGCAATGTTTGTTTGTCATATTTAGTTTGAGGTCTCGAAATTCAGCCATATCGGCAACTTCCACACGATGTTCTGCGATGCGGCTCTGTAGGGGACCTAATGCAAGACCAAACAGGAAGTAACATTTTACATAAACTTCACATGTATCTATGTATAAAGAGAGCGAGAGCGAGAGCGTATACATGTATATGTATATATATATATATATATGTACACACGCATTGTGAGAGAAGAGATCCTTGAATATCACATACTGTGTACATATCTATATATATATATATACTATTTTCAATTTTTTATGTTTATATGTGTATATATATATATAAACAATACACACACACAGAGAGATTGATTGCCGGCACCCCGTGCCAGGGCAGTGACAGATCGAGGACTCGAAACCCTCCAAGGCGGCCAAGATGGTCTGCAGCTGCTCCTGGGCTTGGCTCCGGGAATCCCGACTTCTGTGTACGTTGGGTTCTTGTTAAGGGATCTAATTTGAGGTACTATAATAAGGAAACTATATTATTTACTATTAAGGGATTTAACTTGAGGTACTATAATCAGGAAACCATATCATTTACTATTAAGGGATTTAATTTGAGGTACTATAATAAGGAAACCATATTATTTACTGTAGGTCCATATTATGGCACCTTAAACTAAATTCCTTAACAGGAACCCAGCACGCGCTCTGCCGCAGTCCTCCCCTGGAAACTCTGCGGACTCGCCGACCAAAGCGGCCTCCCAGGGATCTGATCTCGGGTTAGCGTTTAGGGTTTTTTTTGAGAGCCTTTTTCCACCCCGCGCGTTTTGGGTTTAGGGCTTAGGGCTTATAGGGTTTATAGGGTTTAGGGTTTATATAGGGCTTATAGGGTTTATAGCTTATAGGGCTCATAGGGCTTATAGGGTTTAGGGNNGGGTTTACAGGGTTTAGAGTTTAAGGCCCAGATCCCAGGCTTCAAGTTCGGAGCTCAGGGCCTGGAGTTTCTGAGTGTGTTGGACTTTGCTCTGCCAGGTCCTTTGCAGATATTCCGGGGGGGGGGGGGGGGGG